CGACTCAGGGTTCGGCTCACCCACCCCTTCGAACAATAATGATGAAGAGTTCGACCTGTCCTCAGAACTGGATGCTGAGATAAGCAGACTCCGTACCGAGAACAAGGCTCTCCGAGATATCATATCCAAGGAGCATCTTTTACCACGAAGGGACGTCAGTCGAAATGTAGTGACCAGTACGTATTGCCGAAGGGGGACGAGTCTCACTGACGTCTCTTACCACCCGGACGTTGTGACCAGCACTCCTCGGTCACCGACGTCAGACGTCGGCATCCACGACGTTGTATGCCAGAAGCTGATGCTGAAGCTGCAACTGGAGAGGGAGGAGAACGCCAGACTGCAGAACTACATCAACGATATCATGTACATGGTGCTTGAAAACAGACAGAGCTTACTAGAAAAATGACAAATACCAGATACTGTGTGTTACTCATTTTCAACTTGAATGATAACGTTGTTTTGTTTGTTTGTTAGTTGTTACACGTTGATAATAAACGTGACTTGAAAGCCAAAAGTTGGACTTTATTTGAAAAATAGCTAACGAGTGCTCTTTTATGCCGCATTCATCAATTATTACAGTTATGTCACGACAGTTAAATCTAGGTTTACTAAATAAAAGATTGATACTATGAACGACTACAAAATGTATTGATACCTTGACACTATCAAACAGGATGTCGTAATGCAAAACAACCTAAGCGCTATGAATGTCGTAGGTCTATGGTAGGTATAGGAGTTATGGGAATAGTGAGTGAGTGAGTTTGGTTGTACGTCGCTTTTAGCAATATTTCAGCAATTATCACGGCGGGGAACACCAGAAATGGGCTTCACACATTGTACCCATGTGGGAATTCGAACCTAGGTTTCGGCGTGACGACCGAACCACTGGGCTACCCCACCGCCCAGAACAAGTTTGAGAAAAGGTAATGCATACGTGGCAGATTACTGTATTGTAAACAACAGTATGTGTCAAGATTAGTATACGGTTTAAAATATTTCCTAGCCCTCGAAGATGCTGGTTAGCAGTGGTCTTCAGCAATCAATGCTTGTCTTAAGAGGCGACTAACGGGACTGGGAGGTCAGGCTCGCTGACTTGGTTGACACATGCCATCCCATTCTAACTGCATAGATTGATGTTCATGATGTTGATCACTCGATTATTTACAGACCGATGCAATATAGCTGCAATATTGCTGAGTGTGGCGTTAAACAACAAACAAAATAAAAGTACAAAACAAGATTTCCTTCATCGGACTTTATTATAGAGACTGTTAAATGCCAAGAGAGGTGACGCTGACGTTCTGTCCTTGAGCATTGTTACGCCGCACTCAGCAATATTCCAGCTATATGGCGTCGGTCTGTAAATAATCGAGTCTGGACCAGACAATCTAGTGATCAACAGCATGAGCATTGATCTGCGCAATTGGGAACCGATAACATGTGTCAACCAAGTCAGCGAGCCTGACCACCCGATCCCGTTAGTCGCCTCTTACGACAAGCATGGGTTACTGAAGATCAATATTCTAACGCAGACCTTCACGGATATTGAGCATTGTTGAACATGTTCTCAGGCCATAATTTGAATTTCACCCACGGCTGCTTTGTTTTCAAGTGTGAATTAACTAACTGAAATGTCAGTAAAACAAACACAGCCTTTGAACGACGAACCTTATTTTCCCTACTATGATATCCCGATTAATGGGACAAATTTTACGAAAAACCCATGGCTCAAAGCTGCAATGCCCAGCAACATTAGCAATATTCCCAAACATCACCCCGGGTGACACTAGTAATGGGCTTCATACATTGTACCTATGTGGAGAATCGAACTCGGCTCTTCTGCGTGGCGAGCGAACGCTTTATCCATTAAGCTTCCCCACCACGGGCTAACGAATGTAGTTTTCTGTCAAGATGACACGGAATAATTCAATAAAAATACCAACTAAATATTTACTTACACCAAGTTGCGGACCAATACTAGTTTTGTATCGTTGCATGAGCAGTAAAACGTGTTTATACAGTATGGTTTTGTTTACCATAGCATGTGTTGTGAATCTTTCGGAGGCTGGGACCCCATACCGCTATGTAAGCACTCATTATATAACATCCTGAAAATAATTACATGTCCGCAAAATATTGGATGAAAGCAAGTAGTGAAACGTTCGAATACTGCATGTAGCCGTCAAACCTAGAATAATATGTAGGACAGTTCTTGGTTTGAGTGAGTGAGTATGGTTTTACGCCGCTTTTAGCAATTCTAAAGCACTATCACAGCGGGGAACACCAGAAATGGCCTTTGGCTACGAGTGAGTGATTGCGTGTGTGTGTGTGTGTGTGTGTGTGTGTGTGTGTGTGAGAGAGAGAGAGAGAGAGAGAGAGAGAGAGAGAGAGAGAGAGAGAGAGAGAGAGAGAGAGAGAGAGAGAGAGAGAGAGAGAGAGAGAGAGAGAGAGAGACAGAGAGACAGAGAGAGAGAGAGAGAGAGGTAAAGATATGGTTCATTCTTCACTTATGATTCATTATCCCCATATCGGCTGCGTACAGACAACATGGCTGCATGGACTGATGATGAGGTGATAAAACAGTTAAACAATTGGTGTCACCCTACCTAACTGTCCACTTACTTCTGATGCCGACTGTTTAACAAGCATTCTAGAAGTGGATGAGTCAATAAAGAAAAATACAACTTTATGGATAACAACTTCTTATGTATTGTATAGAGCGACGGTTCGGTGTAGATTCTTTATAGCGGTGTAAGAATTGTCCCCGAAACATAGCTCTATACGATACATAAGAAGTTGTTATCCATAAAGTTGTACGCTTCAGGATAACAGTGTAAGAATCTACACCGAAACATCGCTCTGTACAATACATCAGAAGTTGTTATCCATAAAGTTGTACGCTTCAGGATAACTGTAAGAATGTACACAGAAACATCGCTCTGTACAATACATAAGAAGTTGTTATCCATAAAGTTGTACGCTTCATTATTGACAACAGACACTAGCTGCAAGTAAATGGAAGAGTAAACTTACAAACGCAGATGCTGAACTCTAAAGCATTTAAAAAAGCATGCCCTATGCGCAGCGCTGAACTTATTCAGCGTTATGAAAGGCCATTCTCAAACTTCCTATAATCAGTCGCCAATTTGATTAATCTTACATATGACGGGTATGCACTTTACAACACGAGCCCTGATCGAGTGTTACTGCAACACTCTATTGGATCATTCAGCACAGCTGTGCTTTGTCCCAGTGTTGAAATCAACTCGGAGGAGAGAGAGCCTGCAAAATGTCGACCTACAAACTCATATATTTCGATGTTCGTGCTAAGGCCGAACTTGCACGTCTAATGTTTGCATACCAGGGCCAAGCATATGAAGATTCGAGATTTGCTATGGAAGAGTGGCCTGCGCTAAAACCCAGTAAGTCTGCGCGGTATAACGAGGTTGTAGAATCTTAAATTCTTCGGCAACGAATTGTGGTATTTTCGTCACATATCGATGAACATCTCGTTATGCTAGCAATATTATCCCTTTCTGTTCCTGTTATTTGTTTTAATTATGATTGTCATGTGAAGCAAAATACATGTGATCGGCATCACACGATGTCTGGATGAAAACTTGATCTGGGTCAATGGCGGGCGGAGGTAGTCTCAGCGCCTCAGCTGTGCTAATGTGAGAGCGACGCTGGGGAAACTAATATCGAGTGGAATACAGCCTCGGGTAAACTGGGTCAGATGTTTAGGAAGCGTTATGTTTTTACTTACGCTTAATTGTGCCAGACAACCGTTGTGTGCTTTCAAAGTACAGTGGGAATACAACTGAAAATACCATCTGTATCGTAGATCCTGATCGTCAAATGCATTACGATGTCCTGTGTACGTAACTTACGTAGATCAGTACGATGTCCTGTGTACGTAACTTACGTAGATCAGTACTATGTCCTGTGTACGTAATTTACTTAGATCAGTACGATGTCCTGTGTGCGTAACTTACGTAGATCAGTACGATGTCCTGTGTACGTAACTTACGTAGATCAGTACGATGTCCTGTGTACGTAACTAACGTAGATCAGTACTATGTCCTGTGTACGTAATCTACGTAGATCAGTAGGATGTCCTCTGTACGTAATTTACGTCGATAAGTACTATGTCCTGTGTACGTAATTTATGTAGATCAGTACTATGTCCTGTGTACGTAATAATGTAGATCAGTACAATGTCCTTTGTACGTAATGTACGTAGATCTTTGTCATGTCCTGTGTACTTACTTTACGTAGATCAGTATTATGTCCTGTTAACGTAATTTATGTAGATCAGTACTATGTCCTGTGTACGTAATGTACGTAGATCTTTGTCATGTCCTGTGTACGTAATTTACGTAGATCAGTGGTTTATCCATTGTGTAGACTACCTTATGTTGTATGGCAAAACTGTTCTTACTGATAACGAGGAGGTTGGTATTGCCAACTTCATTTACTCAATCTCTATCCTGGCGGTAAAGTTGATTTTACGTGAGTGAGTGAGTGAGTGAGTTTAGTTTATGCCGCACTCAGCAATATTCCAGCTATATGGCGGCGGTCTGTAAATAATCGAGTCTGGACCAGACAATCCAGTGATCAACAGCATAAGCATTGATCTGCGCATTTGGGAACCGATGACATGTGTCAACCAAGTCAGCGAGCCTGACAACCCGATCCCGTTAGTCGCCTCTTACGACAAGAATAGTCGCCTTTTGTGGCAAGCATGGGTTGCTGAAGATCTATTCTACCCCGGATCTTCACGGGTCGGTTGATTTTACGAATATTAGTAGCTCTAACTAAAGACTTTTATAATCTAAATTAATTAAGGCATTGATAACATAGGCGTTTATTGGTGAAGTTCAAAATATTTTGCAACGCCGGCTCAGCGGTCTGTAAATAAACATGTCTTGATCAGACAATCCAGTGACTAACAGCATGAGAATCGATTACTCAATTGGGACACGATAACATGTGTCAACCAAGTATCGTAGGCAGTTTGGAACAGGGTTTATCGGGGATATCTATAATATTCCTTGAGTTATGTAAATTGAATATCTCTCTAAGTAATGACCATGCTGTCAATTGGAATTAATCAACACAACATGACCATTGTCAGTATAGCCACCACCATAGAGTCCTTAGCTGACTATAATCAAAGTTAGACAAAGGCTGGTTGGCCACCGAAGCATGACGATGAGGATGAGGTGTGGGATACTGCAGGCTGAGGACACATCTGTCGTAAATGCGACACGTGAGAGTCTGATCAGACCCTTAGGGATAAATTGAGAATGCTTTGTGTTAGTCGAGACTTGACCCTGAGACAGCGACTAGGCAGGTTGGCTGACCATCGCCTCCGACATGCCGCCTAGTCATTGTTGTAACATCATGTATATGTATACAAATTGAAACACGAATAAAAGTGTAGTGGACCCACTGATGGACTTCTGTCATTGAAGACACAGATATCCCTTAACAACCCGGGATACAAGTGAGCGAGCCTGACAACCCGATCCCATTAGTTGCTTCTTACAACAAGCATGGGCTGTTGATGACGGACTCATTTTCAAAGAGAGAAACAAGACAATGATGCATAAGACTAGAAGCAGAAATGGAATAAGCTTGATTACGAGACGTGCAATGTACTCATAATAAAAACAGCCGGAACATGTTTCAACACCCTAGCAACCTATTCTTGTAAGAACCGACTAAATGGTTCGGATGGTCAGACAAGTTAACAAGGTGTGGGTGTGTGTACATAGCTAGTCAAAGTTCAAAAGCTGATTATCAGCAGTGTTGCTTTTAAAACATACACTCTACAAATCTTCGGAAACGGGCGTCAAATGTCTTGCTGGTTCACGTTCAATCCTCTGAAAAATAAGGACTATGTTTTGCCATTTGATCTGATTTCGTTCATCACATTGACTCAAATACAAATATGTTCAAATGCAAAGTAAATCCCAAGTACGGGTTGCCTTGTCGTGGGAGGCACTGCGATGTACTGAACAGAGTTTCATCCCTTTGGCATACCAGGAACCACATTCGTGACCAACTCGTGTTATTCCGGGACAAGCCGAATAGCGACTCGTGCCCCTCTGGAAGGATTTCATATTGGCGTATGAACATCAGAACTACTTTAAACAAGAACGATAACTCTATTCCTGTTTCATTCCAATGTTACTTAACATCACCGAAGTACTTGTACATTGTATTGCTGTTTTTCTTTTTACTTGTTTATTTTAAAGAATTAATTAAACCTCTTTAATACAACTAAAAGAAGGAGAAGGACATATTCTAATGTAATTATTACCAGCTGTTCACCTTATATTTCCAATTATGTTGATGTTCTAAATAGGGTTTAATAATCACAAATGGGAATTGTTTCATTGAATATGCCAATAAAAAAAAAAATTTCAGCTACATTAATTCCCAAAGCACATACTCAAGAATGACTTTAAAATATTCCTCAAACTAACCATTCGTATAATCTTGCTGTCATACTCCTGGTGGAATTGTAAATGAATTTCGCTGAAAAAATATGAATGACCCCCCAAAAAGTCAGACTAAAATATCCCCAGAGATGTGAAATATAACCCCAATGTTTAAGATTAAAGTTGATTAGTTACATACAAATATTATATTATTGTTTTGAAACTCGTAGCGATTTATGATTACATTTCCTAAAATTGTTGGAAGCGCACGTACAATCTCCATAACAAGCCCGCAAGCTCGTCAGAAATACACTCAGTTGGACCCATGAGAGCCGTTATGTCAACAAACGCACGTACGTGTATTTGAATCTCTCACCGTCAATCGCATGATTCTCATTAAAAACTTCATAATAGGCAGCAAAATCCTGTTAGCTACGTTTTTTGTACTTTTAATAGGACGATATATATTTTTCATGATTTTTTAAACAATGACATAATGCCATAAACGATATAAGTACTCGGGATTATTTTTATTAAAGCACAGCAGTCATTTCGCGCGTTCTGATCGGTTTGTCGTATTTTCGCGCATAACAAGCATCGATAGGGGGACGAGCTTCTTGGAGTTTACGGAAAGGGACGAGTGGTGACGAATGCAGGAACCTATGATGGTGGGTTCGAGTTCCGTTTCGCTCCGATTATGTGGCCGTGTTTTGGGGTTTCACCAAATTGGAAAAGTCTAAACCTGAACCATTTCGCACTTTTCCCCTACAGCAAATTTCCATACTGTGAAATAACTCGAATACTGTTCGAGGGGCGTTAAACCAAACTCACTCACTCACTCACCTCTATAACTGTGACTTGTATTTCCCAAATGAAAAGGACAATTAACTGCATGTTTAGTACTTTATAGCAACAGAAGAAATGTGTAAATATCCCTCAATGTCATTTCAATTCCCTCAAAGTCATTTCAATCCCAAATCTTGTTCAATTCCAATATGCTGGATCAATAATGTGTTATTGTGGTAAACACATGGTGTAAACGAACATCCAATGATTGTTTCAGAAATGCCCTTCGGACAGGTTCCAGTCTTAGAAGTTGACGGAAGGATGTTTTCCGAGAGCGTTGCCATAACTAACTATCTAGCCCGGAAGTTCGGTAAGTATGCAAAATCACGCATGCGCATGGATCAGTGACGGAATCCTGTCAGTGTGCTTTACGGTTTGTCGAAAATGTTATATCATCGATATTTGACGGCAACATGCACGTGGAAATAGGGCTAGTACCAGTCACAATTTTCTGCTCGGGTACCCCACTCCCTATTACCCTACCCTATGAAAAAGCGTTCATTTTATGCACAGGATAGAAGCAAGCTGAGTGAGGTCCAGAAGTCAATTAAAGCAAAAGTACAGCAGTGTAAACGGGACTTTAAGTGAGTGAATGAGTGAGTTTAGTTTTACGCCGCACTCAGCAATATTCCAGCTATATGGCGGCGATCTGTAAATAATCGAGTCTGGACCAGACAATCCAGTGATCAACAGCATAAGCATCGATCTGCGCAGTTGGGAACCGATGACATGTGTCAATTACGCCAGCGAGCCTGACCACCCGATCCCGTTAGTCGCCTCTTACAACAAGCATAATCGCCTTTTGTGGCAAGCATGTGTTGCTGAAGACCTATTCTACCAGGGATCTTCACGGGTTACGGGATTTTTAAGGCAAAGTGGAGAGAGAATTCAAACGAAATAACACCCACCAGGCATGGGAAGGTCTTGAAACCATCATTGGGACAGAGACTAGAACACAACTTAGAGCTGTTGGAGAGGAATTAACATTTGCGCAGGAGCTGAACACCTTTTATTCACGCTTTGACCTCCATGATTTTTCTGATGTTACTGACAGACTGTTATCCAATCTAACTGATACTGAGAATAATCTTACTCTGACTGAAGAGGACGTAAAATTCAGATTTGGACAACTAAACATCCGTAAATCGTCTGGCCCCGATGGCTTAAGTGGTATGGTTTTAAAAGATTGTAAGGAACAACTCGCTTTTATTTTCAATAAACTTGTTCAACTTTCACTGGATAAACAAGTCATACCATCAGCCTGGACACTATCTGAAATCACACCAGTACAAAAGAAGCCGAAGCCTTCCGTAAACAATGACATCAGACCTGTAGCTCTTACGTCAGTCGTGATGAAGTGTTTTGAGAGCATTGTTCTCTGCATGCTCTCCAATCAAGTGAAGGAGTGAGTGAGTGAGTGAGTGAGTTTAGTTTTACGCCGCACTCAGCAATATCCCAGCTATATTCCGGCGGTCTGTAAATAATCGAGTTTGGACCAGACAATCTAGTGATCAACAGCATGAGCATCGATCTACGCAATTGGGAACCGATGACATGTGTCAACCAAGTCAGCGAGCCTGACCACCCGATCCCGTTAGTCGCCTCTTACGACAAGCATGGGTTACTGAAGGCCAATATTCTAACCCGGACCTTCGCGGGTTCAAGTGAAGGACAAGCTGGACCCTCTACAATTTGCCTACAGAGCCAAGCGAGGTGTTGAAGACGCTACGATCTCTTTGCTGCGCAACATCTACCAACACCTTGAGAAAGCTAGAGCGTATGCACGCATTCTGTTCGTGGCCTTCTCCTCCGCCTTCAATACTATCCAGCCTCGCATCCTCCTCCAGAAACTAACTGACCTTCACGTAAGCCCTCAACTCATACGATGGATAGCATCATTCCTGACCAACAGAAGACAGTATGTGAACGTCAACAACGCTACATCTGAGGCGACCGTCACTAATACAGGCGCCCCCCCAGGGATGTGTACTGTCTCCTATGCTCTTTACTCTCTACACCAATGACTGTGTCAGCTCCCACTACAACTGTGATAGGGTAAAGTTTGCCGATGATACAGCAATTAACAGTCTCCTGTTCGACAACGAGAATTCCTACAAAGAGGAAGTATGAGCCTTCACGGCGTGGTGTGAAGCCAGTGTTCTCGAACTAGTTATATTAAACTAAAGAGCTCATCATTGACTTTCGCATGAAACGATCACCAAATCACGTGCACACCTCTAACTATCCAGGGTCAAGAAATAGAAGTAGTGGAGAAGTACAAGTATCTAGGGACTATTATTGACAATAAACTTTCCTTCACACAGAATACCGATGCTATGTACAAAAAATGCCAGTCCCCGTCTACACTTCTTGCGAAAACTCCGTTCATTCTAAATAGACTCTACCATTATGAAACTGTTCTACAAATCATGTATTCAATCTATTTTAACTTTCTCAATACAGTGCTGGTATGGACCCTTAACGCTCCAGAACAAGAACAAGCTGAATAGTGTTGTGAGAGTTGCAGGGAAAATAGCATTTTGTGATTTTGGAATTTTAGAAACTCTATACATTTCAACCGTTTCTGATCTTACCTCAAGAATTTTAAAGGACCCATCTCATGCTTCAAACTCTTGTTATAAGCTTTTACCTTCCGTTCGCAGATATCTTATCCCCAATGTTAAATCTAAGAGAGCAAAACAATCTTTTATTCCTGTTAGTATGTCTCTTTTAAACCAATCTTAAATATTATGTTATCTGTTGTGCTTGGCTCGTAGTTATTATTATAGCTTTTGTGCTTAACTTTTAG